CACACACACGGGCACACCTGCACACACGCCTCCATGCACACGGCCACATGAATGCGTATCCGCAGACACACTCAATACATCTGCAGAACCATGTGCATCACAAGCACACGCCTGCACACGTGTGCTTTGTGTTTAGATCAAGCAGGGTAAGAGCAGAGTTCGAGAACGAGGCAGAAGAAAATTCACTGCAAACCTCACGGGGCTCCAATTCCTAGTGCACTGACAGGGTTTTCTAACAAAGACCAACAGCCTGTCAAGCTCTGCCACTGGACATCACTCTTTTCCTCTGGGGGCCCTGGGACCCAGAGACGGCGTTCTCGGGAGACGGCGGAGGCCACCATTTAAAATAACAGGCAGGAAGCCTGCACTATGGAGCGTCCATGTTTGGTTGTGGGAATTACTTCAATGTGGCCCAGATCAAAGCCGCAATCCCCATTTGAAGACAAAAGCAGACATGGCGCGTACAGAAAATCGCCGCGCAGCTCTGTCCCGGCGGAAGAGAGCAGCGCCGAGTGGGTGGACAGGGGGGCAGTGGCCTCAGGCTGCAGCTATCGTGGAGGAAGGCTGGTTTCTGTCGCACAAAGGGTTTGTCGGAAGGAAAATCAGGAGACGGCCCAATCTCTCAGAGCTGAGCAGCCGCTCTTCGTGAACCTCAGGTTTTCTGAGCATGTCACTGATCCTCACCTGGGCCTCAGCCACCTTCTTACCATCGAAACCCAGGGGGTTCCCGCTTCTCAGGTGAAGCCCAGGACGGCCCGCTGCAGACAGGAGGTGAGAAGGTGACGTCGGAGACCCCTCCTCTGGCTTGAAGAACGCATGAGGAGAAGCGCCAGACCCCAGGGCCCCGTCTCTCCAAGCTGCGTAAACGCCTGAGCCCCCCGGGCACCCGGAGGGGAGCTAGAGCGGCCGCCCTGGCGCATCCGCGCGTGTGCGTGAAGGGAGAGAGAGGCTGGAGAGCAGCAGGAAAACCGAGCAGGAGCTGGGGGCGCGGGAGCGGAACTCCTGATTGCTTTGTACGTGCCCCGTGGGACAGGAAGCCAGGACACTCACCTGAAGGCCGCCAAGTACTCTGCGTCGCCCATGGGGGGATCAAGGCCGCCGGTGAAAGCCATGTTGACATTGAAGCCCACGCCTGGCCCTGTGCCCACCTGCGTGGAAGAGAGAAACTCCTATCACGGGCCCTGGCCTGACCCTTGGTGCCCTGCAGCGGAGCCCAGGGGCTGTGCTTGCCAGCACGACCCCACGGCCTCTGACTCTCAGACTCCCACAGCGGAGTGTGGGCACAGAATGCAGAGCTCTCGGCCACTCGCACGAGGGGGAGCCATGGGAGCCGCCCGGCCGTGTGGGAAGACGGCCCTGCAGACGCCAGCGCAGCGCAGCCAGAAGGTCAACGGGTGAGGCCGTTCTGCCCTGCGTCCTGCCCAGAGGTAAGACCCGGAGTCTGCGGGCACTCTGCCTGGGTGTTGGGTTTCTTTGTTCAGTGAGGGCAGGCTGTGCTGGGGGATCGGCTCTCACAAAGGCTCTGAGCCTGCCAATCCCCCCCCCGCCGTGTGGCCCTGGGCAGGTACAGGACGGCACCAGCGCCCCGCCCAAGGGACGGACATGAGCAGGGGCCTGGAGGTGTTCAATCGTGCACCGCAGGCCTGGAGGGCTGGGGCCGGGGGGGTGCCCCATGCTTCCCCTCAGTCTCCCTAGATTAGAGCCAGAAATCATGTCGTCTCTCATGTGAACCTCAGGCAAAATAAAACCTGTGTGCACACACAGGACGACTGCTTGAAATCGCTTGGGGAGAACGTGAGCAGGAAGCCCTCGCTTCTGTGTGTGCGGGGCTGGGCGTCCCCCACTCTGGCCTCCAGAGCAGCCCTGCCTCGGCCCCTCTGACAGGCCCACACGGCGGCGGGCAGCCCCTGCTTACCTCGTCCGGAGCCCCGCTGCCCGGGAAGAAGTTCCCGTCGTCATAACGGTGAAGGGAGATGTACAGGACGTTCGGGTCGTTGTAGAAGGCCTGCTGGGTCCCGTTTCCGTGGTGTACATCCTGAAAGAGCGGGGAGAGCTGACTCTGTGCCGGTGGACGCCTCCAGCGGGGCCCGGAGGGAGCGGGGCCGAGGCGACAGAAGGAAGGGGCCCCAGGTGTGTCCCAGCTGGGGTTCCTTGCCATCGGCACCACGGCATATTGCAGGTTCAGCAAAGATGAAGAGGCTGGTGCTTTAGGCCTCCCCAGAGGCCACGATTTTCCACACAAAACATCTGATCAACTCCTTGCCCCTGCCACGTCTGTGTGAAGTGAGCTGACCACAGCTGTTCAGTTTCAAGCCCATGTGAGGTGGCAGCTCTGTACCAGACACCGGGGTGTGGCAGGAGACCATCGCA